CCTATTCAGGACATTTCCCATACATAGAATTATACAAGATGTGGCCTTCTGTGACTGGCTTCTTTCACCCAGCATGGTGTTTTCAAGGTTCCTCCATGTTATGGTGTATATCAATACTTCATTCTTTTTCATGGCTGCATAATACTCCATTGTGTGGATATAGTGTGTTTTATTCATTCACTTGTCATTCAATGGAGAAAACCTGTTTGTTTAACAATGGCTCTTTTTGTTTTCCTTTCCAGCTCCCAATCAGAACAGGTGTCCCCGAAGATATCCAGACAGAGAATGTGCCCCCAGGCCCCCTTGTGCTTCCTTCCCCCTCTGGTAGAATCTGATGTTTTGACAACCCAGACCAATCCTCAAGGTTGACTCAGGCTGGACTCACAGGTCAAGGCCGACTAAAGGGCCAGGCACAGTGGCTCACATCTGTAATCCCAGTGCTTTGGGAGGCCAAGGCAGGAGGATTGCTTAAGCCCCGGAGTTTGAGACCAGCCTGGGCAGTATATGGATCACATTTTCAAGTAGCAATTTCTGGAACTCAATGACTGTCACTGTCAAGGGTATGAAGAGGTAAGAATGCTGCTGTGGTGTGAATGTCCCCCTGAATTTCTGTGTTGAAACATAACTGCCCATGCAATCATATGAAGAGGTGCCTTGGGGTGATTATGTCAGACTAGGATCTGCCCTTGTGAATAGGATTAGTGGCGTTACAAAAGAGCTCCAGGGAACTAGCCAGCCCCTTTTGCCCTTCTACCTTCTGCCATATGAGGATAAAAAGAAAGCCTTGAGCAGACACTGAAACTGCTGGTGCCTTGACCTTGGACTTCTCAGCCTCCAGAATTATGAGAAATACATTTCTGTTCTTCATAAATTACTCGGTCACGGGCATTTCATTATAGCAGCAGAAACGGAGAAAGACAAACATCAAGTATTGCTCTCCACAGCTCGAGGGTCTTGACATCCCCTCAGCCCCTGCCCAAGCAGAGCCACCCTAGACAAACACACACTCTAAGTAAAATCTGGCTGTCATTCGTCCTGCAGATTCAACTCTGAAGCAGGTCCCCAGCCTCGGAGTCTCTGCTGAGCTGACCTTTCCCTCTGGCTTTAGGAGGCTTCCTGCTCCTCCTTGGGTCTCACCTCTGGCCACTGCCTCCTGGGGCCTCAGAAGGGGATGACTGGACAGGAGAGGAACAGCAGTCAGCATGCACTCACCTGTGCCTGCTCAGTCATCCACCAGTTGGTATTCTACGGACTACACTGTCCCATGTTCACTGTTAAATATTCAGGTGGAGTTGGGTTTAGCAGCAGATTTCCACTTAATCTCCCTTGAGTGTTTCAGGCCCTCAGGAGAGCTCCTGGGATAACTCTGCTCTGGCCGCTACCCTCCTCTCAGTCTGTGTCTAGCCCTACCTCGTTGGTGGGGAGGGCTCCAGGCTCTAGCCCACCCTGGCCTCCCTCTGGATACCAGGGAGAGGGTGGAAGCCTTAACCAAGGTCAATGACACAAATGCAGATTTGGGAAGGGGATCAAATGATGCAAAAGCCTCAGAGAGGCAGCTCTTGCCGTTCATGCAGTGTCCCAAGGATACACAAATGAAGGATGGGGACACTCTGTAGTGTTACTCTGACCCCTGCCTACCTCCACTTTCTCGATCCTAAAGAAGCTGTCAGAGGGCATGCCCTCAGCCTTTCCTAAAATCCCAGCAGGAAGATGACAGCAGCTCCGAAGAAAGAAGTGTCCGGGAAGGCACAGGGCCCAAGTAGCAATTAAGCATTTTTCGTGTGTCCATAGGGTGGCAGACTTCTTTCCACAAACGGAAGCGCTGTCCCTCTAAACCTGTTACTGTGTCTAACGTTTGGGGATTGCTGCAGAACGGTCCCCATCTGCTTTGAGGAGTGGCCTCTGAGTCTCCCATCTTTTCCGCTTCAGCGCCCCACGCTGTCCCCATTTTAACCACTAGATGGTAGCAGACACCACCAGTTGGCGAGGAAAGTGTTGGCGCCAATAGGAGGTAAAGGCTGCATTTGAAGGTTCCTCCCTATCTTGAAGCTATGTCAGTTTCACCTGTTTCTAATTTAATTTAATTTAATTCATTTTTCTTATAGGTACATTCTTATAAGTAAATTATTTTTATATTTATGAAGAACATATTCCTGAATATAAAGAATACTCACAAATGTATTCTTAACCTCCCCAGCCTCTGCTGTCTCTGCCCTTTTGTCTCCAGTAATAGGAATGGGGACCAATTCTACATTCCTCAAAGTTCAGATAATAAGAAATGAGAATGGTCTCAGGCGTTATACTACATTTGATCAAAGAAGACGAGAACTCCCAAGCCAGTACAGAAGAATGTGAAACTAAGACACAGAAGACAAATACAATAAAAAATACATCTAAGAAATTGCAAGGAGGACAAAAACAAAAATGACAATAATTAGCATTGATGGATAGGCGTCTTGGCTCACTCCTGTAATCCCAGCACTTTGGCAGGCCAAGGCAGGCAGATCACTGGAGCCCATGAGTTCAAAACCAGCCTGGGAAAGAAAACAAGACCCCATCTCTACAAAATAAAAATAAAAATAAAAATTAGGCAGGCTTGGCCAGGTACAGTGGCTCACACCTGTAATCCCAGCAGTTTGGGAAGCCGAGGCAGGCAGATCACTTGAGGCCAGGAGTTCAAGACCAGCCTGGGCAACATGGCTAAACCCCATCTCTACTAAAAATACAAAAATTAGCTAGGCATGGTGGTGTGTGCCTGTAATCCCAGCTACTCGGGAAGCTGAGGCACAAGAATCACTGGAACTCAGGAGACAGAGGTTGCTATGAGCTGAGATCATGCCACTGCACTCCAGCATGGGCAAGAGCGAGACTCTGTCTCAAGAAAGAAAAATTAGCCAGGCTTACTGGCACAAAGCTATGGTCCTAGCCACTCAGAAGACTGAGGCCAGAGGATCGCTTGAGCCCAGGACATCGAGGCTGTGGTGAGCTATAACTGTGCCACTGCACTGTAGCCTGGGTGACAGAGAAAGACCCCGTCCAAAAAAAAAAAAAAATGCATTGACTCTTAACCTTTCCACTTGGTATGACATACAATTCCAAACTGCACATCAGGATTTGCATAATGGGCCAGGTGCAGTGACTCATGCCTGTAATCCCCTTGGGAAGCCAAGGCAAAAGGATTGCTTGAGCCCAGGAGTTTGAAACCAGCCTGGGCAGCATAGTAAGACACCATCTCTACAAAAAAAGAAAGAAAAGAAAGAAAGAAAGAAAGAAAGAAAGAAAGAAAGAAAGAAAGAAAGAAAGAAAGAAAGAGAGAAAGAAAGAAAGAAAGGAAGGAAGGAAGGAAGGAAGGAAGGAAGGAAGGAAGGAAGGAGAGAGAGAAAGAAAGAGAGAAAGAAAGAAAGAAAGAAAGAAAATTAGCCAGTCATGGTGGCACGTGCTTGTAGTCCTAGCTACTTGGGAGGCTGAGGTGGAGCATCATTTGAGCCCAGGAGTTCAAGGCTGCAGTGAGCTATGATCATGCTCCTGTACTCCAGCGTGAATGACAGAAAGAGACCCCCTCTCTCTCTTAAAAATAAGAAAAGAAAATATGAAAATGAGTCCAATTAGTAGGTTGGTGAAAAGTAATTGTGGTTTGCCATTACTTTTAATGTACCACCCTAAAAGATTATGAGCAGCAATTGGCATGTTAGTGAGCACCACGGGGTGTCCTGGTGCCTGCAGCCACCTTCACCTGCCCCCTGCTGCTCTGAGACAAGACGTTGCCTCATCCAGGATGGCTCTGCTTGCAGGGAGGGGCACAATTTAGAAAGGCTCCCACAAAAGTCCACCAGGCAGCAATCAATGGTACCTCGAGAAAAGCTATGACTATCAAAGGACAAGTCATGGTCAAAATGGAATCCTGGACATGGGAAGGAACTTTATATCCAAGGCCTGAGCCTGAAACCGAAGGAGAAAGAGATTCATGGGCTGCAAGAAGGCCCCAAGTCACCACAGCAGGTGACAATGTCCATAAAAGGAGACAAAAACAAAAAACAAAGAAAGGACCTTGTTGGGGGGCTGGCCTGGCTTAAGTGGGTCCTGGAGTAAAGACTGTCCTGGGCATCCCCTAAGCAGGGAGGGTTGATGGATGGAGAACACAAGTAGAGCCAGCCTCAGAAACCATAGTCTTCCTGGAGGCTTCTGAGAAAGAGAATGGAACATGATGTGCTTTCCTATTCTATGTTACATTTTTCTGGACTAAAAATTGAGGAGCAGAGGAGACAGCGAGACCAGGAAGCTACATTTAGAGGAAGCTACCAGTCTCTAGGTTAGGATAGAGGGCTCACATCCTTGCCAGCTCCATTAGTAGTGTGAATTTCTTCACTCCAGGCACACAGTGGCCTGGTGGGGTCAAATATTTGACCTAAAACAAATGGGACCAAATTTCAAAAATGAAAGTTGCAGCTGGTCCCTGCTAAGCAATCTCAGCAATGGAGTCTTTCCAGCTCATGCCAGCTCACAGCCCCTTCCTGCCCCCAACCCTTCCGAGCAGCGCACCCCCTGCCCAGAGCCCACGAGGCTGCCTCTTATCCTTTCTTCAAAAGGACCCTGAAATCCACTCTCTCCAAAAAATAGACCCTGGCTGGGTGGGGGAGGGGAGGAATACCAGTCACATCCCTCCCCAACCTGGACACAACCTGGTCCTTGCCTTCCTCCCCAGGTGGCCACAGAGGCATAGGCCCTGGCTGAAACCGACAGCGGGAACACCACGCCACACATCTCAGTTCAGTTTGTGCTTTTATTCTGAAGCTAGCAGGTTGGTGCGTAGTTGCCTTCCTGGTCTGAAATCAGTGCCCCTTTCAGCCCCTGCCCTGCTCCCCGTCCCTTGCTCCCACCCCAATCTGGACAGAGGACTGCCCTCCTCAAAGTCACCAACCTGCTCTCGGGGCTGATGCTTGGAAAGGAGCTGTTTAAGGAAACGCCCTAATTGCCTTCTAATATGTCAATATCAGATTAGATTGAACCACCACCATTTGCATTTTAATGGAAAAGCTGTGGGAATTGGGGGCTTCAGTGGTTAACTGGTAAAGTGTGGCAAGAGGGGGCCTCAGAGGCATGACAATTCTCGCAGAAGGTCACAGGCCACAGGCCACAGGCTGGCTGGGACCAGAGTCTTCAGGGGGCTGATTGATGTCCCTGGGGTCCCTACACCTGCCTTCGGGTGACTGTCCGCTGCCCTCTGGGAAGGGCCAGTCTTGAGTCTGTGGTCTAAAACTAAGGAGTTAACCAATCAAGGGAAGATGAACGACCCACAGATTGGTCCTCACAGATCACGTAAAGGACCTGAGGGTCAGGCCAGGACCTGGGACTCAGCAATGCACCCAAGAGCCTGTGCCCAGGAATGTCCAATTCAGACCGAGGGGTACATGTGGGGAGAGGGGCAGGGCCCAGGAAGGAGAGCAGGCCCAGGAAGGGAGGGGAGGGGGAATGTCCTCTCTGCCATTTACCACCTCTCTGGCAGCCTAAGCAGGGAAGGGAACCAGGCTGGCCATCTCTCACACCACAGCTTCAAGCTGGGACATCGTCAGGCCAGCCTGGGGACCACGTCATGATGGGAGGTATGTTTCCCTGTGTGCATATGTGTGTACTAGGCAAGAGAGATCAAAGTAGTCAGCGTAGGGACTGGAAGAGTCATAGGAGCTGGGTTGCACGGCAGAAATAAAAATCCAGGCAGTGCTCTGGAAAAGGATGGTGGGTATCCTGAGACCCGGCAAGCGCCTAAAAGTTGATGTTCTTCAAGTCCATGGAGCAGCGGTACCTGCCGTCTGGGAACCTGGAGCACAGCAGGTTGGGTGAGCAAGGACAGGTATGGTGCTTGCGTTTCCTAAAGAAGGGGACCTAAGGAGAGAAGAAAGCAACACCTTCACCAAAGGGACGTTGGTGGGCCTCCTGGCAGCAGTCTCTGCTCAGTCCAGCACTGGCAAATGTCTCCCCCTACACCCTAGCCCACTTCTCCATTGCACCTAGCACAACAAGAATAGCAATTAGAGATGAGGAAACTGAGGTACAGTGTGGCTAAGCAATACGCCAAGATCACACAGCTAATTTGTGGAGGAGCTAGGATTCGCACCCAGGCTACCTGGCTCTGGAGACTCAGCACACATGTGCCTGCACACACACACACACACACACACACACATGCACACACACGTCCATTGATTGAATGTTTGTTGCTCATTCATTATGGGCTCAACACCGTAGTGGGTACTGCAAGTGCAGCAGCGAATAGGACAGCCGCCATCTCTGCCCTGACTCACACGCCAGAGGAGTGCTAAACCACTGGGGTATCCTCAGGGAGGAGTTAGGAGCATGGGCCCATTGTCAGACTGCCTGGGTTCAAATCCCAGGTCTACCACTTCCCAGCTGTGTGACAATCAGCAAATCATTTGACCTCTCTGTGCCTCAGCTTTATCATTTGTAAAATGGGTTAACAACAGCACCTACCACATATGGTTATAAAGAGGTTAAAATGACAAAAAGCACCCAGTATGAAGGGTGGCATGCAGGAAGCATTCAGCATTAGTTTTTATTGCTACTGTTGTCTTTATTGGGAATATGGATCTGGAGCTGAACCCCCTCACATTCCCCAAGATTACAAGGACTGCCACATTGTCCGGCCTCGTTCACCACTCTCTAGCCCCTCTTCATCCTGGGACTGGAGGTTGGGCGGGGGCTTTGATTGGGAGAGAGACTGCTGGAGGATGCTCTGTACCCAGATGAGCACCGAGCCGGGGTGCAGGTAAGTCCCCGAAGAGCAGGAAACATGCCTGAGTCCAGGTGTAAGACAGCTGGTAAGCCTGAGAGCCTGTGCTCAGGAATGTCTAATTCAGACAGAGGGGTACGTGTGGAGAGAGGGGCAAGGCCCAGGGAGGAGAGCAAGTCACCTGAGAGCCTGTGGAAACGTCCTAATTGCCTTCTAATAGTCAATGTCAGACTAGATTGAACCACTACTATTCGCATTTTAATGAAAAAGCTGTGGGAATTGGGAGCTTCACTGGTTAACTGGTAAAGTGTGGTAAAGTGGCTCTAGAGAGGGAGTGCAACGGGGAGGCTGTGGCTCCAGAGGACTCTGGACTGGGAGCTGGCAGTCAAGGAGTGCGAGCAGGGCAGGAACTATGTACTCAGGGCACAAGAGTGAGTGACTCCTTGAAGTGGGCACCTCACTTGCCTCACTGTAGACCTTACCAGGTGTGGAAGGTGATTTTGTGGGTCTACTTTTATGTTCCTGAAGGGAGTTTCCTTCAGAGCAAAGGGCATGTGAGATCATTCCCAAATCTGAATTCATCAGATCCATAAGGGGCATTAGAGGCAGTGAGTCTGCTCCACTCATTGTATATGTGTGGCCCAAGAGCAGGTGAACTAATTTGCCCAAGTCCACACAGCAAATTAAGGGCTGGAATGCCCAGCCTGTCTAACAGCCTATGAGATCAGTGCACCCCTCCACCTGAGGCTGCCCCTTCAAAAACAAGGCAGCAGCGCTCAACATCAGTGAGGTATAACTAGAGCTGGCGTCGGAAAACTGCAGTTCCAGTCCCAGCTCTGTCTCATTGGCTGTGTGCCTTGAGCCAGTCAAGTGACTTTGCTTGTCTGTCAGTTTCTTCAGCATTGCCCAGGGTTGCTGTCAGGATCGAATTAAGATCGGTGATTCTCCAACCTGTGCTAGAAGTTTGTAGGTGGATCATGTCAGGCCTTGTACAAATAAATGTACAAATGTGTTATCTGCAGGGCACTAAGGTGGGTGCCTGTTGGTGGTGGGGACACAGCAACCCCATAGCCTTCTGCTTCCCCTTGGACATTCAGGGGCTGGATCAGGGCTGGATCAGCTGTCAGAGGAAGGTGAAGTCCTCTGGAGCCACAGCCTCCCTAGACTCCCTCTCTGGAGCCAGCCTCTCTAGCCTTCCCAGCTAAAGCAAGGCCCCAGGACATCACCCTCTGCTCCCCACATGGCCCACCCACATATGTGCACCCATGCAGTGTCTGCACAGTACCTTGTGGCTGCCAGGATGGCACTCCTCGCCTTCCCGCCCCAGCGGGGTACACATCCGCAGCCCTCGAAGCCACAGGCTGATGGCACAGCAGGTGCCTGCCCCACACTGGACATCCCGCTCACAGGCCTGCAGGTGGGAGAGAGAAGGGAACAGCCCGTAAGAGCACCCAAGAGAAAGCAGAAGGGAAGGGTAGATTCAAAAAGCCCTTATCAGGATGGAGCGAGAAGAGGCTGAGAGTGTCACCCCTGGCCTTAGCCTAACAGAACGCCCTGGGCCACGCTTTATTGTCCTGCTCCCCTCATGGGGAGGCTCAGGGCTCAGGAGGGCATTGGATCTGGATCTGAGGAAATTTCCAAGCTCCTTGAGGCCGCTCAGAAGGAAGACAGTCCTCTTTTTCCAACAAGGCTGGGGGTTAGAAGGCATAGCTTTTCTAGGGCTAGTAGACGCTCAATGGATGCTGGTGGAACTGAATTAATTAGAATTCTCAGAGGTGGCAGGGACCCTGATGGCCCGAATTCCTGGGTGGTCAGTGCTGAGCTGCCTTGGACCAGGAGTCTCCAGCCCTGACCGCGCTGTGTTCAGTGCCTCCCCTCTGCATGGAGGCACCCCCACCCTGGCCCTCAGAGGCCCAGCCTCAGCCGAGGGGCCAGCACCCCAGTGAACAGGTGCCTCTCCCAGGGTTTCTCTGCTGACTTCCCTGATCCCCAGAGAGGATCGCAGAACAGGGGCTGAGCGGCCCTGCCTGGTTTGGGAAAGGTGCCATTTGTAAAGAAGGCCACCTAAGCTCACATTAAATAAAAGCCAGGGCTGGGGAAGACAGAACTCTTAACTGCTCCAGACTCAGGTGGGGGGGACCCGCTGAAGAAGCATCCACACTTTCCATTCTCAGAGATGCTATGTGGCTTTTCTGAGCTAAAATGCAAAGCTGGGTTTTGGATCACTCTTCTCCAATAAAAGCCTATGGGCACCTTCAGGCTGCTGTGTGGGACATGGCAGGACCTGGAAGCCCCTACTTGCTCAGACCCAAGAGGGAAAGAGTGGATGTCGGCTCCACTAATCATGCAGAGGAGTTACAGGTGGCGGGCACCCAGCTGTGCCTGTCTCCAGCCCAGCAAGGGCACATCTCACACCCAGCCAGGCCCCAAAAGCTCGGGGTTGGGGTAAAGGAAACCCCAGGTGATTCTTCTTCTCCCATAGAGGTGTGGCATTGCTGTCCCACTCTCGGAAGAAGAGTCATAAAGCCTTGGATGTGGGGACAGTTACAGTCCAGGGAGCAGGGGAGTGTAGAGGTGGTGGAGCCTGGGCTCCTGCTGAGAGTCAGAAGTGGGACACCAGCAGGACATGGAGGATGTGGGGAGCCTGGGGGTTCCTGACTTCCCCTTACTGCCCTGTTCTAACCACTCATCTGTCTTTCCTGGGTAAGACTAGGGAAATGCACTCTCTATTGTGCTTTTCACTGTGAAAATGTTTGCCGGCCGCTCTCAGATCTGCCTGCCCTGCTGCCTCTCTGGGCCAGTGCTGGAGCTGGCACGGGTGGTGAGGCAAGCCCAGCATCCAGGCCAACCATGCTGCTCCTGCCCTCACTGCGCAGCAGCCGGGGCTTCTCTCCATTGTTCTTGCCCTCTCAGAATTTCAAGCTACCCCATAGAAGGGCAGTCCACAGTGTAAACACTTCATTAGGTATAATTCTGCCTTCACGAATATTTTTATTTTTGCTTTGGATCTCAAAAGCATTTGACTTGCCTTTAATATTTGTTCTTTTGAACTCAGTCTTTTTCCTTTAAAAGAGAAAAGAAAGAATTTGTCCTTTCGGTGAATAGTAAAATTAACCCAATTCCAGGAATTGTTTGGCACTTCTCTACATTTCCCTTATCCATGTAAAAAGCTGGTGGAGGCCGAACTAAAAGTTAATTTCCCTGCTCCCCCCGACCTTTTTTTCCCAGTGGCTTTTATATGGAAAGCTCTCAGGTAAAGCATTGCTTTCTGCTTCAATGAGAGTGGTCCTGCTACCATAACACATCATGCGCCCCTATTTGAAGGTGGTTCGAGGTAAAGGCAAACTTCCGAGAGAAAACTGTGATCTGAATATTTTGAACCAATTGGAGGTTCAAGCCCACATGCTGAACCTCTGCATTGAGACTGGATTTCTACTTGTTATCTGAACGCTTGCTTTGGGGTACACTCAGAATGTTAGTGTCACCCATATTACTCTCAGAACTAACTGGGCAGGCACACAGTGAAAGAGTTTCAAAGATATCCTTTCTAAGCAGAGGTTAAATTTATACAATAGAAGTTTATAAGCTTACCACGTTTAATTAAGCTTACTGCCTTTAATTAAGTCAACATGCTACGTAAATTAATATTAATATTAATATGTGAACCAGACCATAAATAAAAATTAAAATTCACACAAAAGATAAATTAAGGTTTGCCAATCCACTTTATAAAGGAATTCCTTATTACATAATAGGAATCTTCATTTTACCAAAGGACTGAACTTCAAAATGTTCAATGCTCTACTAATGCATTTAAAACAGGATTTGATTCATACACAGCTTCTCAAAAGCAGATCCCATTTAGTAGAGTGAGGTCTAACTAGTCTGAAAATCGCATGCAATCCCTCTCTAAAGTGCTGTCTAATGCATAACTCCCCATTCCCTTTGGTTCACAGTGTGTGGAGCCAACAGAGCCTCCTGCATGGTTCCTGGGCTCACAACCCATGCAGACCCTGACATCTTCCCAAAACCCAGGGCACAGAGAATGTTAGGCGACTTACCCCTGTGATCACAGCACAGTCAGACACAGTTACTAGGAGGAACATGATTGAGACTTGCATGGCACCTCTCATGGTCACTTGGGGTGAAGATAAAACACTGCCTGCTTGGATGCCTCTCGCTTCCTCCCGCTCAGCCTTGTGCCCGGCAAGCTGGGAAGGCCAGGCTCTCCTGCATCCCCCGCCTCCTCCCAGATGTTTATACTCAGGATCCAGGGCTGCCTGTGGATGCCTCATCTCTGCTTTTCCCTTCTCCAACACCGATGTTACTCAGATGATCTCAGAAGCGAAGATGAGACCTGAATCTCTAACAACATCAAATCAACATCGAAACCAATAAAAATGGATACTTCGGGGGCTTCTGGACAGTTGGCTCTACCTCCAAGAACGCAGTGATTCAGACAGTTATGTACATTTCACTCGATGTTCTTTTCTGCCTCTGGGTATCCTTCTATCCTACTTGGGGCAGAGGAAAGGCTCCGGTAATGATTAAGGGATTTGCAGCATAACCATTTATCCTTCCCTGCACCAAACTATGCAACATACAGGATATTGGTTCCCTCACCACACACCAAGAATTATCTAGGCATTTACATTGGGCTCAACACAGAGGTAGCTGAGAAGACCAGAAGAGGTGAGGTGGTATCCTTATTCTCTAAAAGGTTAAAATTACAGTGAGGAGACATAAGACAGTGAGGAAAAAAAGACCAGGGTTGTGAGCTGATACTCCTAATGACACACACATACGGATTTGCTCTCCTCACGGGCTCAGGATGAACACCAGCACGTTCCCTTGGTACAATGACCTAAGGGCAGATGAAGGGGTGGCCTGCCTCCCACACCCTGTGGGGGTTCTCGTAAGGTGAACGAGAGACTTGAGAAAAGAAATAAGACACAGAGACCAAAAGGATAGGAGAAAAAAGCGGGCCCAGGGGACCCGCGCTCAGCTTACAGAGGACCCACGCCGGGCCCCCGGTCTCCGAGTTCCCTTAGTATTTATTGATAATTATCTTTACCATCTTAAAGACAGGAAGTGGCAGACAATAGATCAAAGAAAAAAAGAGAAATCGGCAGTAAGACATATGAAAACAAAACCTCGTGTGAATATAAGTTCAAAAGGAAATATGCTGTGCCTATGAGATGGCCATATGAAACATCCCCATAACCTTTTAGCACATGGTTTCGAGGTCTATCCACCATGGGAGGAAAACCTTTAGACAATACCTAGCTTCTAAGGCCCAGAGGTCCCCTGCGACCTTTGGCCTGTGTACGTGTCCCTGGGTAGTGAAAGTAGAGAGAAATGGTGATAACTTTTAACCCAGCAAAGCTACCTTCGGCCATTGTTTAACAAGACACATCCTGCACACAGCCCAAAATCCATTAAAACCTTGAGTCACCGCAACAATGTCTCCTTGCAGAAGGACAAGGGTGGGGTTAGGGGTCACAGATGTACAGCCATCCTCAAAATACAGAACAAAATGGAGTCTCTTATGTCTACTTCTTTCTATACAGACACAGTAACAGGCTGATCTCTCTTTCTTTTCCCCACAGCAGAAAGCCAGCAAACACACAGGCACACACTCTCCCAGTACCCTGCAGAGCCGAGTTGGTGTGGGCTGTGGCTGAAAGGTACTAGAGCCACACCACTGGCCTTCCAGGTTTAGGGGTGAGCATGAGAGGGGAGTGTACAAACACAGTGGGCTCAGATGTCAGTCTGGTGGGAAGTTGACTTTGGGGAGGGCCCCTCCTCCTGCAAGGAAAGCCCCTGACCCCAGCCCTCTCTCTGTCTCAGAGGACCCAGAGAGAACTCCCAGTCCTTTGTCAGATGATCTGCCTTCTCTCCACAATAATAAAAACCAATATTTCCCAAGGTATGTGTTGCAATATGTTAATACACAAATAAACAAATAAAAGACGACTACAGTCAAAAGTTTGGGAAACACAAACCAGCTTGGTTTTTGCAGAACTTTTCAGGGCCTTTCAAAAGCTAACAAGTGTTTGAAACACCAAGTGGGAAACGCAGTTTGTAGTATTTCACAAACAGATTCATCCGCAAAACTTTTCTCGTCAAGTGTCACATGGGTGTAGGGTTTCCACATAGAAATGTTGACAGGCATTTATGAGTGCAGAGAGGAAGACTAACTAGCACGGGGGCCGGGAGCTAAGCCCCCAGAGGCAGGTACTTTGACTTCAGATCGATGGCTTCATGACCTTGAAAATATTGCTAATCTCTCCAAGCCTCAGTTTTCCTTCCTATAACATGGCGGTAAGAATAGCATTTACATCATAAGATATTGTGAGTATTCATCTATTTATTTACTCGTTGACTATATTTATTGAGAGCCTACTGTAT